ATTATTATTATTATTTTTATTTTTAATAAAATGCTGAAGTGGTAGGTAGATGCAAGATAAAGGTAGAAAACATAGTTTAGTGCTGTAAGAGGGCAAATGTAGATGACCAGGTGTGTGCCTGTAGACTATGTGTTAATCCAAGCTAGACAAGGGCAGCAAAACATCCATGGATGCAGAAGATTTCTCTCAAAGCAGGGGGGGTGAGTTTCTGAGCCTCACCTCTGTTGATCCCCAAATTCTCACCTGATGGCCCCCATGTGACTGTGCCTGTCTTAGGTTGTTCCTCCCTTGAGGAATCTTACCCGTCTCTGGCTAACCAGCCATATTCCAGGGCCATACAGGGAAACGTAAAGTTGGTAAGTGAGAGAGAAACCATATTGTTTGAAAAGGTTAGCTTTTTACTTCTTTGCAGATTTATGCCCTGTGGCTTCTATGCCCAGCACTTGTGCATGGGACCGTTTTTTAGATATTGTTACCACGTCATACGACTAAGAAAAGTTTAAGAATATTCTTTGTGTTTCAAGTTTTTTGACATATTCTTGTTTTACTGAACTTAGAAATGTAAAATTTTTCAAATTAGAGTCTTGGTAATCTTAAGATTTGGTGAAAAAATTATGAACTAATTTTTGTGGAAACCAACACTTCATAGATAAAAACAACTATTTCCTGAGGGAGGGAGGCAGCAATAAGCCCAGATAATGTAAGACTTGGCCTCCTCGTGTCCTTGGGTTGTCCTCTAAATTCTCCATGTTGCAACTTAAACCTTCTGCGTGGTCAAAAGGGATAGTGCAGGTTGTGAGTTTGTGGAAATGTGATAATAAGGTGTAAGAGGAAGTAGGGACATTTTCTAGAACCATTGATTCACTAAAATGAATATTTAAAGGAAATCAAAATTAAGTGGTAATCCTTTTTTTCTATTCATAGTCTAAAGGATGGCAGTATGTCATAGGTGAACTGCAGGATTTAAATGGAAAGAGTCAGTTTGGAGCCAAATGTCCTGGACTTGAATCTTGCTTCTCCTGGTGTGTGGCCTTGACCGGGTGTTTTTTTTAAATTACCTACTTTATTTGTAAAATAGAAAATTATGGTCACCAAGTTAAATGGAATTACGTATGTGAAAGTACCTGGCATGTAGAAGATACTGAGTGTTAATTTCCTGTCTTAACTGATTGAATTTATTCATACCTCATCTCTGAAAGTCACATTGCAATGAGGGACATACCCACCAAGGCCAAAGCAAGGAGGAGGAGTGCCAACAATAACCATGACCATCGCTGTGGAGGCGCGTCCAGCTCGGGTCTTGGTAGGGCAGGAAGGGGTGCACTGTACGTGTCATCATTTTCGTGATCCAAGAGGAGAGCATATGTAATTTCGAGACGGGAAAGCAAAGGTCACCAACAGCTGAAGAAACTGAACTTGGACTCTTACCTATTTACCACTTAATACCCTTTGTGAAATGATTTCCACCATAGTTTTATAGTAAATTCAGAGTTGGGTTTCATGTGGTATGCTGAGGTGGTGTTTTAATAGGAATCGTGGTACCTGTGGCAAAGGAAGCATGGAAGAGATCCTTACAAACGTTTGGTGATTCATACCAGCTAATATTTAATTATGGGAATTAAGGATCAGTGGTTCAAAAGTTATCTTCTTCAACCTCAGCTCCTCAGCAGGAATTTTACTGCATTCCGGAGTCTGTTGCTTCATTGTGCCCAAACATGGTGTTACCTTGACTGTACATATTCAGAGATTCCTCTGGTATGTCCTGTTCTTGCCTGACTCACTGATTCTAGAACGTACATTCCAGGTCAACCTATCCTTGATCTAGAGTGGGCCAGTGAATTTATTTAGTTAACATAATGTCAGCTGATAGTGTAAACCCCCTAAATATATAATGGCTCAAATGTAACAGAAGTTACATAGTTCTTGCTCACTGATAACTGTGCTTTGTGGGAGGTTTTCCTCCTGACAGTGATTGCAGAGCTTCCTTCTCTCTTGTTGCTATTCCTTCTGTCTTCCATTACGTGGCTGTGTTTCTCTGCCCTAAAGCCAACATGGAGGCAAAAAATGGGGGTCCCTGTGAGAAGTTGTCATGTGCCCAGGCCTGGACATAGAGCACACTATTTCTGCCCACGTTCCCCAGGCCAGAACTCAAGTCACACGATCACACCTCACTCAGGAGGGGCTGGGAAGTGGCATCTAGCCGTGTGCTTCATGGAAGAGGAAATGGACTTGGTGCTCACCGTGCCTTTCCAAAGCCACTTACTCTATGAAAGGAAGTGGAATAACTCATGGAATGATTTGTCCATGATAGGATAGGACAGATGGAAAGTTTTGATGATTTTGTCTATAGTGCCTTATTCAGTTGACGAGGCAGATTGTCTTCTAGAAAATATCACCCTTCTGAAAAGTTGCCCTTAATTTCTTAAACCATGTGAAAGATGATTCTAACTTGATTTAAAATATAATGAACTGCTATTTTTAAACAACATTAATTAACTATTATAAGTTGGGCAGGACAAAAATCTGGTCCCATGATTCTGCCTGACTGATCTTGTATAGAGTTTTCATGAAATTCCTTGGCTCAGGGGAAGACCCTCCCTGAGGAGGGTGGGCTTATGAAGTTTAAATTAGTATAGTCAGAACTGTCAAGTAAGATAACAAATTAAATTGACACATAAGAAGAACAGGTCTTTGACACAAAGTAGAAAATAATTGTGTTTTATGTGGTTTTTGTTACCCTTTTAGAAACTCCCCATTGCCTCGGAGATAATATTGCTTAGTTCCTTAAGTTGTGATGGGAGAGAGGGGCCTTAGGATTTTACCTTGTGTTCAGACTTTTACATGGCAAATTGGGTGAAGAGGAAATTAAAAGAAAGTGGTTTCTCCATTACTGTGACAGCATTGAAAGGTCTCATGATTGTGTGTTGGTTTCAATCATCTAGTTTAGAAAAAGAGATTAAAAACAATAGGTAAGTGGTCTAAATATATTGAATGTTGCTGAAGGTCAGGAGAGTGGAGTTGATGTGAACTATGTGGCTGTTACCAAATCACAGAATTGCTGTGTAGCATGCTTTTTCCCCAAAGGTTAAAATAAAAAATATAACAATTGAGGGAGTAGATGGAATAATTCAGCAGACAGTGAGCACTAACATTTATATTGATGAATCTGAGGCCTCGAAAGGTCTTGAAGATTACTACAGTGCCATAGGAGAAACTTCATTCGTTGTGCTTTAAGCGTTTAATTTTGGGGAACTTAAACCAGCTAGAATATGTACCAGAAGCCCCAGTGTCCCACCTATTATAGCACAGGAGTTTTCTGCCACAAAAATGCTGCCCACAGGTTCATAAAGAAACCTTTACGTGTGTGTGTTGCTGGTTGCTGGCTGGTTTTCTGTGGGTGGTGAGCAGAAGAGAGGGGATCGTTTGGATTTTCAGTTGGGCAGTGAAGACACGAGACTGAGATGGGGCAGCATGGTGTCACACAGCGTGCAAAGCCATTCTTTATATGCAGCATGCTAGGTGCTGCCCAGCAGCACTAACCTCTCAGCTTTATTTTGCGGCGATGGCAATACTTTTAGAATCTCTACTTCAAGATTCATTTAGAGTTAAAGCCAGAATTTTTAGTCTCGGATCTTGGTGCTCTAGGTACTTAACTATCTGGGTGTTCTTCAGGCTGCTGATTTCTTCAGAGATAAAATGCAGATAAACTTATGAGTGTTACTAAAAAGACTGAGATTATATAGGTAAAGTGCCTGGCATGTAGGAGATTTTTTAGCAAATGATAGTTCAACAATTTTTAAGTCATCTGTGCCAATGAATCAAAATTCATGAGTCTTAAAAACAGATTATGTAGCATACTAAAAATCAGGCTTATCATCTTCTTTTACAACAAATTATTTAATACTCTCATACGTCAAGCTGGTTTAACCAGAGAAAATCAGGTGCAAGGCAAAAACCTGAAAAAAAAGCCTGTTTATCAAACCTTTACTTGTGTTAGTTGTGTGTAGAATCA